CTGCTACTGCTACTGCTACTATGACGGCGGCAGCGGAGACGACGACGATGATGATGTTGAGAATTGTTACAACTCCTGTCTCCTGCTCCTGACCTGCTGCCTGGTGGTTGCTTTCGCATAGCTGTTGCTGCTTGTTCAGAAAAACATGGTCTAAAACATGTACCCTGTCTTGACACTGTTCTCGGGCATGCCTCGGAGGAGCGTAGTATGCTGTGCACCTCAGATAACGAACTGACGGATGGCTGTCCCTAGATCCGGAATCTCAAAAACAGCTTCATAGGGACAATACAGTGGGCTTTATGGGGGGGGCATGTTGGAGTATATAAGGGTGTACAGGATTTAAGGTATATTCCCCAAACCAACATGGAGTCCGTTTACCATCACAGAGGGCCAACATGGGTTACCATGTTAGCCTCTGGGCAGGGTGTATTAGTTGGTGACAAACCCTTCAGCACAGTCCTCAATATGTTCTGGACGGACCTGCTGTAGCAGCCAACAGCCGGCTAATGCAGCACGCGAGGCTCTGGGCAAGGACGCCCGAAGCATGAGCTTAGAATGTGAGATTCGAGATTCATGCTCATGTCTGTTGAGTTCCGGCAAAGACTCCTTCAAGTCTAGCCTTGAATAAGAGTGGTTTGCATGCTAGAATTTTCTGGGGGCATTCGGGTTTCACGTCCGATGGGCGAAACATCCCAGATCTCTGGATAGTTCTACAGACTTCTGCGGGTCAGATTCTCCAGAGGTCCTCTACCCGAGCGCTCTCACTGCCTGTGATAGCTCACTGCTCAATCAACTCTTGCCTCAGCAATTTCTGCGTTCTAGCTCAGGTTGAACAAGCGAATGGGAATGCAACTTGGTTGCAACTGGAGCCATGAATCTGAAATAAACACTACATTATGGCTTCAGACTGCCGGCACTCGTTGCCGCCTGCTGAATCACAGGACAAAAGTCGATCAGGAGTCCTTCATCCGTAGGGTGACAGCCAACGTTTCGGGTTGAGGGAGACCACACCAGAGAATAAGCAGACAGCACTGGCCGCTGTGGAGGGCCGCTACACCGCTGGAATGGGGAAGCTCATTGGTAGGATAGATTCTCGTGCTGAATCGTTAAGCTTGCAATATCATGGTTCCTGTTGGGATGTAATTGCACACTAGTGTTCTATCTTCACTTTAGGTTTTCACCATGCAAGTCAATACAAATCATGTGCGGCAATGACCCAGTATCCAGGCATTGGGGACCGTAGAGATATATTGGGATTATACATTATAAGGAGATTCAAGGAGCCCATTGGGAATCATGTAGGGTTTCTTCTTGAAAAGCTCCCATCTGGGCTGCGTGGACAGGTCCCGGCAAGAACCCCAGGAGTGACTCTGTCAGCATATCTGAGCCGGCGGCCTACATCACAGGGACGATTAAAGGCTCCTCCTCATACTCCTGCCAGCCCTGAATCCTGTGCAAGAGAGGGAACATGCAGGGCACACGTCAGACCGTCAGACGCGAGGAAGCTGGGTGTGGGGCTAGGGCTCACAATTCGGAGTGCTGAAAGATGCTCCGTGCCTGCCGTCACGGTCGAGGCTCGCGACGATTCTCGCATGGTGATCCTCGTCCTTGGGTTTGTGGTGGGCTTGGATTGGGCTAGCCAGAGGCCTGAATCGAATCTATGAGCACTGAATCCTTCTTAATCCCGAACCTCAACCTGTAAGTCCTAAACACTGAAAATCAAATTCCTGAACCCAAAACCCTTAAACCTCTAAGCCCCACACTGTGGGGCCGTGGGGTTCAGGCCCTGGGTTTGTGCTTCTTTGGCAAAAAGCGGTGCGGCTAGCATTCAGATCAAGAGCTGGCCCAACGCAGCAGCACAGACTACAGGGCGTGCTCAATTCCTTTAACCTTGGGGCTGGGTTTCACTGTTGAGGGCAACAGTTGTTGACTTTCAGAATCTGAGGACATGAGGTCAAGAGATTCTTCTTCAAGGGGGCCAAGGTCTGTAGTTCTAACAGAAGTTGCTTTACAGGAAAAGACCCCCAAGAACGTTCCCCGCCATTTTCGTCACCCCAATAGAAGTTTCCGAGTAAGTTTTGTTGAGGCTTACAATCTGACCTGGCCTGACTCATAACCCTAAAACACCTAAATCCCCCAACCACATAACCCCACAGCCTAACAGTTGACCGAGGCCATTACCCCCGGAAACCCATTGAAATGTTAGTTTCTCAAATCACGGAGACTCCAGGTGACCCCAAGGACTACATGGGGATTCTGAGGTCTTCCTTTAAGGAGGACATAGGGGCCATTTTGAGAAGCCTCGACCCTAAAACCCGGTAGCCCTGGACCCAAACCCAAAGAGCTTGCCAGAGTCTCCATCGGGAAAGGATACTCCGAGGCTTTCAGGTCACGCAGGTGCTTCTTGCGGTGGAAGAGCTTCAACCTGAGGATGTCTGGCCTCCTATTGGGAAACTCGCGGAGAACGGTTGTCCCGAGAGCGCTTGGAACAGAAACATAAGAATCACGAAGAGCTAACATCACGCAAACCTCACATCATGCTATTACCCACGCCGCCAGCCATGCCCCATGCCTGCTGCAAAACCGATTCATTTCTCAGAGCCATAGAGCCACGATCTCACACTCGTGAAAACCATACGAAGACTTCACATCAGAGCTCACCTCACCAACAAAAACAAACAAAAACTCACCACGACTGCACAACAACCTCACATCATGCTATCAGCCTCACATCCCATCCGATGCCTCCAGACAACCATACAACAACCTCCTCACATCAATCCGACATCAAAGCACCCTATTGGAAACCCACCTCCACACGATTCGGGAAAAGCTGTCATTTCAAATTCCTGCGGGCGGTTTACTGTAAGAAAAACACATGGGGTTCGAGGCCGAGGGGGATGGGGTTTCCTGGTGCATTTCTTGCCCAATCCTAAACCCGAGACCCCACACCCTGAAACTCAAAATCCTAAACCTTGAAGCCAAAGTCCTCAACCCTCAAACCCTAGACCCTTGACACCCCAAAAACCCGGAACCCTGAAAATCCTGAATCGCCAAACCCTGAAACCCTAAATTGGTTCCTTATTACATCGTTCATATTCAAATGCGTAGCTTCAAACTCCTGATTGGGTTTCAACACAAAACGTCAAATTCAAAACGGTGTTCAACAATGCCCCAGTGGTACCCTAAACTTGCTGGCTTTCAGCACGGAGTGGAGTAATGGATCTCTTCAGATCATATCATTTTCCACTTGCTCTTCGATATGATTTTCCATTCCCCAAACCCTAAATCCTTAATGTAGGTTCCATTTCATCTTCGATTGGGTTTTGCAATTGATTTTCCATTATGCCAAAATCCTGAATCCTGAGTTAGAGCTTAGTTTCCATGTCCTGTTCCATTACCCCAACATGATCCCAAACTTGCCACCCCCAAGCGGCCTGCTGGCCAAGCACGGAGGCTGCGGATTGCCAATCTCCTGGGCCAAGAATTTCCAGACCTTCCTCAACATAGGGATACTTAGGGGACTCTTGAAGGGGTTCTAGAAACGACGAAGGGCTAAAGCTTGGGGCTCATAGCGTGGGTTTCTTCCAAGCAGGAGCCCTTAACTATGCACAGGATGTATCAGGATTACACAGGGACTAGGAGGGGTCCCTCCAAAAAACTAAATCTTGCGCGGCCTTCCCTCAAAAAGATCCAAAAGATTGGATAGCGGAGGGCCATGCAGACAGAGGGTATGGTCGTGGAGGCTTGCAATTCATTTAGTGTATGGGCTCTGCGATACAGGTCTTGGCAGACATCAACTCAACAGCACTCACACCGAGAAAAAGCTCTTCCTGCGCCCTGAATAACTGGAACACGACAAAATCAATTAAAGAAGAAAATGGAACTGAAATGGAAAGTGGGTTCACGGTGAAAAGGCGGGTCCTGTTGAATTAGAGTAGTGTACCTTAATTACTCAAGTATAAAAGGATTTTTGACCGCGAATGTTGGTGGAGTTGCACAACACCCATGAAGAAGGTTTGTCTGCTACTGCCGAATTATGTGCATTACGGCCTCCACAATGAACTCGCAAATTTGGCAAAGGATATGCACGTATTCAGGAATTAGGGATTAAGGCTTAGAGGCTGGGGATCCCTAGGAGTAGATGGGGATCACACGAGGATCATGGGGATCCGTATTGGAGGATTAGTTCAGAGTAGAGTTGGGGCCTTGATGATGTAGAAGCCTCGATTTTTGGTCGTGCGAAGGGCTTACACTCCTTTTATGACTACCATACAAACTTCCCCAAAACCCTATTCTGACGAAACAGGCCCCTCGACTATGTGGCAAGATCATCTTGGGTATGTTCCTGAAAGCGACGGAGGCAGAAAACCGGTTCTACCTGATTTTAAGCACCCAGGCCACAGCCAAGCAACTCACCAACTACTCCCAGTTATGAACAACAACCTTTCTTAAAGAATCTCCGATCCTGTCGTGATTCGTGATGAAACCCCACCCTAAACCCAGAACCCTAAAACACAGCCCTAAATCGAACAGGATGCCGCACCCGCAGGCCCAGCTAAACCGGATGGATGGCCTCCAGGTTATGGACAATGCCCTCGGAGTCGATGCTACAGGTCCGCTCAAGGCGGTGGGACTCCGAACAATGCCTTCGATTGACGGGCTAGCAGTGTCTGGGCTTGCAGTTTAAGGTTTAGGGTTTAAACTTTAGGTTGTATGGCTTACGGTTTCGGATTCAGGGTTTAAACGTTAAGGTGTCAGGTGTAGAACCTATCTTAAAGGCCCAAGGTACACCATCCAAGAGCAACTACGGTAACCCGCTGCATCTCTTTTTGCAGGTCCCTACTATAAGGATCAATTATCGTATTATCGTGTTTAAAAAGAGGACCCCAATCCAAGAACACTTGATCCCAACCCCCTACACCTGTCCCTCTGATGTCAAACCTGGCTCCAAGGATAGTCGGACTTTTTGATCATAGGGGATGGTTAAGCATCAGGAGCGGGGGATGGCGAATATGAAGCGCTCCACAGAAGCGAGTTTTATGCATTGAGGACCATACTTAATGTTGGAGCCTAGGGGCATTCATATGGCCCTCGACCCGAATCGTGAAATTCCTACACCGAACCTTTGCTCACAAACCTGTGAACGCCAGACTCTAACCCAAAACCCTGAACCCGAAACCGCGGGGCTGTCAGGGTTCAGGTGCCTGACTTAGGGGACCCAACACCTGGGCTCAGGCTTCTGGCGGCCCATGGCTGATTCCGTATGACCTTATCCCGGAGGAATGGAGAGTCCCGCGGAAAATAGTATGGAAACTGATGGAGTAATAGTTATGTATAAGGACAAAGGGCTGACTGGTGTATACGCTAACTGGTGTATACGATTACAACTGGGGTGAAAATGTGTGTATATGTACATCTCAAAATCGCCCAGTGTTCTATTCCTTCAGCTGCTACTAGCTGTTAGAAGGAGATGAAGAAATGGAACACATAGATCATTCTTGGCGATAGAGGCTTCGGTAGCATGGGGATTCATTCCCTCATTCCGTACCCAAAACCATGGGTTTCAATTCCTTGTTCCAGTCATCTATTCCCTGCCAACCACGGGTAAGGAGATGCGGTCTTGAAGGGATCTTTTGCTGCTGCATACTTGGAGATTCCGGGTAAGTATAACATGCTACACGTGCAGCTGTGAGTAACCAACCCAGAGAGCCAAGTATCCTTTGATGAAGGAGTATACGCGAAATGGCCCTGGGATCCCCAGTGAATATGATTTCAAGGAAAATTCCTAAGCCCCATAACTTAAATTGGCGTATTGGGCTCAATGGGAAGTAGGCCCTGCAGAAGCTCAGGTGGAGAAGAGCGCCGCCGAGTTGCAGAACGCCCTCCTCATCCATGCTGCAGGTCCTTTCCAGGATCCCCTTAAGGGGGGGAGCATCGAAGGATCAGACAAGGATTATGCAGAATAAAGAGAGATATGTAGGAACGTACATACATATACAAAATATCCATACAAATATGTAGGGTTCAAAGGCTTTCCAAAATTAGACGTCCCTGTCTGGGAGTCGCTTTTATACTCGGGTCACCTATTCATCGAAAACCCCCACATATCATCTGACTTCTAGGCTGCTTCCTCCTGGGCTGGATTCCTAAGAACTTGTCTGCAGCTCCGGCCTCAAGCTCCAGAACGCTTGAGGCCCAAACAACCATACTGAAGGGGCCTAGATAATTGAAATAGGGCTTTGGGCATATATGTATATATACAAGTAAGGGCCATGAGGGAATACGATTTCAAATTATTCAGGCCACTCCTTCGACATCTCCGTCAGGTCAAGGGCTAATCACCAAGTACAGCAGAAACCATGATTGCTCAGATGGCGACCAGTGGTGCGGCTACCCCTGCAAAGGCCTGAATAACTAGAATAAGGTTTCGACTTGAGGGTGTACTACACTATAGCTCTATGGCGGTGATATGGGAACATTACCAGTCACCCATTTTATCTCTCGCTTCTATTTCGATTGAACATTTGATCTCAACCCTGCCGGGGACCCACCGAACACCTCATTTTAGAGACATATGCCACACAGTAACCCGCGCTCCTCTCAAATGGGATCTGTGGACTGAAGTCGATAATTGGCGTGGCTGCCCCGGAGTGGTTGACATACACCTTAGCAGGTGGTCGAACCGAGTAAGATTATGATCCTTCCTGTAGAATACTGCACCCTAAGGTAAGATGTGGATGTTGCTGATGCTTGCGCTGTCTTGCAAACGAAGGGGTTGAGCACATGTTTAGCCATGCATAACCACAATCACGGCATGATGAAAAGACCAAGGCCGAACCGTTAAGTCTTGCACCCACCCATGCGCCACGTTGCGCGCTGAGGGGCAGGGGGTTGTCAACCCTTGTTTACAATCCCAATGCCACCCTGAATTATTCAACATGAGACGGGGTTTGAGAACGGCATGCTCATTGGGCCGTGCAATTGTTGCGACGTACAGTTCTGGTCCGATAGAAGTACACGCGCTGTTGCTGAGGCTGCCGGTCGCAACGAAAGCTCCAGAAAATTGCAATGTAAACCCCATGGCGGCATACCTGGAAAGGTGGGATCTCTATCCTTCAAGGGTTCCACAGTTGCCCCGGGAAGGGTCTCTCAATATGAACCAACGTCATCTCCTAGCGTGCCTTGAACAGATTCTCAAATCAGGGGTCCAGGAACCAGTAGTGAATGGCATGTTGGCTAGATTCTTGTGCACAAGGTCTTGTTGACGGATAAATCCCCAAGACCCTTCAAAACCACCCTACTAGGAATTTTCTCAGTGTAGGTTATATGTGTTACGT